TAGACCCCGAAGACGCTTTCCGCAGACGAATTCTCCGAAGACGAATTAGACCCCGAAGACGAATTAGACCCCGAAGACGCTTTCCGCAGACGAATTCTGATGGCAATGTTGGATCGGATTGAGCAGATATGTGCCGATGGCTGAAGATGCAGTTTATAGCAGCAGAAATCTTTGATTGCCGCTTCATGTGCTGCCATGTACGTGGAGGTAGCATGTTTATGGTCTGCGTTCCACAGCAGCCGTTGTTTATGGCTATAGGCTATAGTAGTTACCCGAAGATTTGCACATCCCGTCATGATCATCATGGCCATTGCTTCTTGGGCTCACAGCTGTGAGCTGAGCCATTGGTCGGCATGGATAGCGAAGAGGAGGAGATCTGGAGATGCCATGGATGCCATGGATGCCAGTCGGTACTCTGAGGGTCTTCCGAGGGTGGAAGTTGACCGCAGGGACTGGGAGTTCGTCCGCAGGGATGTCCTAAGTGATCCTTTTTCCATCTTTTTTCCCCCATGGATTTGGGGTTCGGGATTGGGACCGATCGCCGGATTTTTGAAACATATTTAAACAGATGCAACATGGGGCTGAATCCCCCTGAACATGCACGTTTGGGTCTTCGTTGTGGTTCTCTAGTTTTGGGATGGCACCGGCCGGGAGCAGCGCTATGGGCCTCGCTACAGGGTGCGGAGATCTCAGTGCAATCCGGCCGACGCGGACATTGCTGGGAGATTTGGCTTTGCGGGAGCTTTGTTTGTGCATCCAGAAACACGCACATGTCACATGTCTGTCTGTGTGCTTTTTCATGTCCTTTGAGCAGTTCCATGATGATGTTGCAGGTGATCCCTGAACCCAAACACCGAATTCAAAGGAGCTGGAATCCACAATCTCAGACTTCCTCACAGCCTAGACATGAGAGAACACCTAGGGCTACATAAGAAACCAATCTTGCATATTCATCACCCAGACTCTTAAACTCCGCAGAAGTCTCTTCATGTCATTCCTTCCGGACAAGGAAACACCTTCCCATGCCCTACCCGTGGCCTCAGATGTGTGTTTTGCATCAACCGATCGATGCACCTGGCAGATGCTGTCCTGTGGCTACAATATCGAAAAAGCATCATTCAAGATATTCAAGCCCACCCTACAGAATCCATCACAATCCTGGAACCTTCTTTGTCTTCAAGAGAGAAGGTACAGTTGTTACATCATGTTACATCCATTCATGGAGTTTGTGCTGCGATATCTTAGGATATCTCGGGGTGTTTTTTGTTTGCTAGCTTTTCCTCCTGAACACACTGGAACGTTGGAACATCAACTTTTGTTTGTCAAACATGAAAGCTGGACCATAGATTTGTGGTTTGCCTCCCAGACGGCCCCTGACTAACGACTGCCATTGCTACAACATACATATTACAGAAGACACGCACAGCTGTGGAGTGTGTGTCCGGGTTTGTTAGCTGGTGGATGGTGAACATGACAAAGGATAGACTGAAATAGGTACCACCAGGACCTTCTGACCGGAAATCCAAGGTCGCATTCCCGCAGTGGTCCTGGCCGCATCGAAAAAAGTAGCGTTATCGTGGCAGCGCCGAAAATAATCATTTCGACGCTGTTGTGCCGGTGATGGCCTTGTTTGTAAGGATTTTGTGGTTTGCAAGGTCCAATGAATTGGACCCAAATCCATTGATGAAAAATGCAAGGGTCATGACAGACATGATCAAATAGATAAGTTGTATTGTATTGTTGCTTTTCTTCCCTGACTCTCATCATGTTATATCAGGTACCATCCCCAATGGAAGTGATGGCAGCTGCCGGCGCAGCGTGATATACACATGGTTTGGAGAAAAAACCAGCCTTTGTCATGGGGGGATTGCATTCTGAGAGCAGACCATTCATACTTATCTTGAAGGTTTTGCGCATGTGTCCCCATGACGTGACTTACCCGAATATTCGACAAACTTCTGTTGGACGCGCTGGACCCATTTGGAGGCTAAGTTGAAGCTATGTTGAGTGAATTGTGGGCCCATGTTGGGCCTCATTTCAACCCAGACTCAAGGATGCCTGGCGTTTTGTATCATCTGAAGCCTATGTCAGGGTGATGGGAGTGGCAGAGTTTAGTGCAGACTTGCGCGAACAAGAGCTTCAACGCACAAGTTTACTGTTAAGGGTGCCCAGTCCCGTTTCAGTGGTACGTTGAGCTAAGTAGGAAGGCCATGTTCAATCATACCGTGCGCGGTACGGGGGCTTCTTACCTTTTAATACAACACAATGTCCAATTGTTGCGCTGTGTGTTCTGCCATATCTTGGACATGTGTTGGGGTTGCCTGCTGCTTCAACAGTGTCAAAACGGCCCGTGCTACGAAGAACCGTTTCGTGCAGTTTGGAGCATCAGACGGGGTCCTGTCACGTCAGGGAATGCGGCGTCGCAATGTGGCGTCAGGGGGTAATGCGGCGTCAAAGGGGCCATGTGGCGTCAGGGAATGCGGCGCCAGAATGCGGCGTCAGGGAGTAATGTGGCGTCACGGGCAAATGCGGCGTCCGGGAATGTGGAGCCACAATGTGGCGTCGGGAGGTAATGCGGCGTCAGAGGGGCAATGTGGCGTCAGGGAATGCGGCGCCAGAATGCGGTGTCAGGGGGGAATGCGGCGTCAGGGGGGGATGCGGCGTCAGGGGATGTGGCGTCAAATGTGGCGTCAGGGAGTAATTTGGCGTCAGGGGAGGAATGTGGCGTCAGGGAAGAATGCGGCGTCAGGGGGTAATGTGGCGTCAGGGGGTAATGTGGCGTCAGGGAATGCGGCGCCAGAATGCGGCGTCAGGGGGTAATGCGGCGTCAGGGGGGGAATGTGGCGTCAGGGAATGTAACGTCGCAGTACTAGGAAAGTGGCGCCATAATGTGGCTGCAGCGTCAAGGTCAAAAGCGGGATCCCGTCTGCCGCCGCCCTGTTTTATGAATGAATGAATGAATGAATGAATCAATCAATCAATCAATCAACCCATTTGTTCTCAATTTATTCGTGAAGTAAAGAAGAATGCCAACAGCAGAGATTATATATATACATAAACAGGAAACTCAAAAGAATAGCTAGAAAAGTGTACAATTTTGTAATGCAAACTATGCCAAAACTTTTGTTTTGCATTTCGAACATTATTAGTTTAAGCACCCTGGACCGTTGTAAATGTCTTCATCCAAACTCTGCGGCTGAGTGGCAATCAGTCGATCCATTCATTTTCTCCAGGAGGTCTTGTGCCGTGGCGATCAATGTTGTCTTGTGATGCTTGTTTCCCTCTCCATGCATTGCGCGGCAACAATTGCCGGCAGATTTTGATTTTAGACTCCCCCTCGTCATTCAGCAATATGCAAAACTCAAAAGCTTCCTCAAATAGTGCAGGAGGTTTGTCGAAAATGTCAATTGACCCAACTTCCAACGGTCTAAGCACTGCATGCTGCAATTTGGTAGTTTCGACAGCTTATATTCTACAAGTGCGCTTTACTGCCTGTCCATGTATTTCCATTGAAGACAAAATTGCCAGGATACCGCTTGCTTGGCCACTGTCTGCTCCTTTGCAGCATGAAAGTTGTTCATTTCGCCAGTTCTCCAGATTGTAACAAGCATGAAAGCAGAAGCAGCAACGAACCACACGAGATTCTTTTGCCAAGCTTCCGCTTTGTCATTTGGTTTTTGCTATGCACACCAAGCAGGTTTTCTCATTTGGTATCGAGTACCACCACATCCACCACTTTGACATTCGAGTACCAGGGTATCGATTGGAAAGATGTGATGCTGAGGGAGAGGAGCCATGCGATGCTTTACGTGGTTTTCGTCATCGATCTTCCTATCGTTCCTTGCTTGCTTTTTGCAAAAGTCCTATCAGGCTGCAAACCTCTGGACTCGTGTGAACACTGTGGATTGGTTGCGGGCGGTGAAAAGCTTGTGCCACAGTCAGTTCCAAGGATCCAGCTCCTTGTTTGCATATATGTCTTGGAGTACCAATTACATGCATCGGCAGCAAAGACAATGGAGAGTCTGGACCAAGCCTGAACAGAAGAGCACTGACTGTTGAATCATGGACTAAACTTTGTGATATTTCTGGTCTGAGTACCTTGACCGTTAGGGCTTTCTTGTCAAGTGTGCAAAGCTATTCGGGGTTTGCCAAGGCAAAGCTTTTGATGGCTTGGAGTCTCCTCGATTTAGTTCCTTTTGGCCTTATTCTGCCTTGGGCTTGCAGGAGCGTGGCGGGGCTTCCAACTTGTAACCTGCAACCAACTGCGCCGCACACCATCTCAGCCAATTTTCTTCAATAATTTTGAGCGAACAGCACACAGAAGGCAATTGTTCTAGTCGCTTTGAGCGAACGGGAAAGAAAAACCGGCATCCATGTTTCATGTCGAGGCTAGCCTAGTATTGAATATGGTCGTACGGTCACAGGTGATTTCGAGGTGGGTGCATGCTGCTTTTGCTGCTGCAACGGGTGGTGTCTGCGCACAGATGTATTGTATGACAAGAACAGCAATGAACAGCCCTCAGGGAACGAAGGGAAGATGCAATCTTCCGGAGGGGCATTAAGCAGTGTCATAGCTCGATTTAAGAACATGGAGAACGTAAGACAAAAAGGAAAAGCCGGTCAAAGCAAGAGAAGTCCTGCAGAGGAGCCATGAGCCGTTGTTGTGCAAGGCACAAGGCATTCTGAACTCCATGTGAGAGTAACTTCCACCGGGGTCAAACGATTTTTGTTTTTGATGTCAAGTCTGTAATGCATGTATGACGTCATGCTGTCCTGGAGTGGCCTATATAAATCTATGAGCACAAGACTGCTATTTTCGACAACGGAGGACTGCAACACTCTCAATTCCTGTTCGGTCCTCTAACGCATAGGGACCATACCGTTGGGCATCAGAGTTGTATGGTCTCTCCTGTCCTTGCAATCGCATCACTTTAGCGTGTCTTGTTCATTTGTGGTAGACATTATTTTGCAACAGTGCTGTTGCACTCAACATGACATGCTGAGATGCATGTTTTTTGTGCATTGAGGCCTTGGTATTATATAGATTAAGCAGCACTGAACATTCGGGACAGCCAAAACAAACGGTGCACCCTCCATGTGCTGCTGCGAAGGACGATTGAGTTGCAGGAATCGGTCACGAAGTCGAGCGGATCTGTGCCAGAAGCACTGACCTGACTTTGTGCGTGGAGTGAGAAAGAAAGATTCGAAGGATCCCTTTTTCCTGCTTCCGTTTTACTGTTTGCACGAGTGAACAAAGATGCTGGAATGTATTTTTCTTGGTGCAGGCCATTCAGGTCGTTGAATGGATTCAAGCTGACCTGCTACTTGGCATACAGTCAAATGAGAAAACCCAGTTGAACACCATGGAAACAAAGGAGTGGCAGAGAGGATGCTTGGCTCATAGCCACAGTTCGATCCTCAGCAACACTTGAAGAGCGGGCATCAAATTCACAAGCATGTACTTCAGCCAGGTGTTGGAGTGTTGGGGCTGTCAATGCATTGTTTCAGTCTGAAAAGGTCAGTGGTGACGGGAAGGTTTTACTGTGGGATGCCAGAGACAATGATCTTTCGCAACCTTCCAGAGGCCCACTGAAACATGTGCAGCTTGCAAACGCTCTGAACCACTTGCTTGAGCTGGAATTGGCAGGCTTCATGCTGCAAGGATCCAAGAAGAGAATCTTGGGCGGAAGGCAATAGCCTCAATGAGTCGTGCGGAGTCTGAGTCTAAAACGACCTGGCTTCTGAGGTCGCTTAGTTTTTCTCCTGTGGACCCGTGGCTCTTTGTGGTGGGCACGGAGACAGGCAGAACTTACTGTAGTTTGTGCCAAGGCAAACTTATCGTGGGTGTACATGTAGCCTCCGGCAAGTAGAAAGTGAGTACATTGCCACCGCCAGAATAAGCAGTTCTGCAACAGAGATATTTCTGCAACATCGTCAACCATCTCAAGCATTTGTCAGAGAGATGGTTCTGGGGCATATGCAGTCACAGGCGTACGGCGTACGGCTTTCGACTAGAGAATAGAGCAATGTCACGCCTGAAATGGATAACGCTGCATGAGGAGAAGTTGAGCCTCTTGGCCTCGTCCCTCTCTGTCTCCTTTACCGTAGGACTGTGTAAAAGGTCAGGCTGCATACAGCAAAGGAAGTCTTATTAGGCGTCAAGAGCAGCCATTTGAACCTCCACACATGCGCGCTGTCTGGCAATGAAAGACTTGAACACACTATTGGTCACTACTGCTATGCGGTGCAACCAAGCCGCCTTCCAAGTCCCAGTATCAACCTCAAAGACGAGCAAGAATATAGAACAAACATGTTGTCAAGCAACCGCAGGCATACAGTATGAATGAAGAGGAACAACTGAGCAACACAGTAACCTAGCACGTGTTGGGTTCTTTGGAGATGAACTCTAGTTACTAGTTGGAAGTTAGACTTAGACCACTTAGACCTGCAGCTCATGATGTCAACACACCCAGCAGCGCCTCCAGCCCCTCCTCGCCTTCACACCTGTCCAGGTAGTGTGATTCGCGCTTTTCGGCCACCTCCAGGAGCTTCAATGGGAAGACCCACTGGTAACTTGGCAGTTCACCAAGTTTGAGAAGCAATCTTGTCCGAATTGCCACGATGAACTTAGGAGAAAATGGCTGCCCAAAATCACTTTCGGTTCATTTGTTATAGACTTGGATGGGGAGGAAGGTTTCATTGCCTGCAGTTGCACTCTTGAAGGTCGAATGCTGAGCCATCAAAAGCTCCAAAAGCTTTCCCCGCCTTCAACATCTTATTTTTGACAAAGAGTGTAATGAACGCTTTAATGACGTTTCTCAACCTTAAGCCAGACTGGTTGCTATGGATGAATGGATGAAGCACCACCATTCAATCAAACACCCTGCAAAAAATCCAAGGGTATATGACATGTGGGTGTTGTAAATCCCACTTCTAACAAGATATCCTTGGATTGTTGTGTTTGACTATTCGTCAGCTTCGGAAAAGGACAGGGCTTCGCCTCAGATCGTTTAAATCTGAGGCAGCTACACTTGGAAGGACTGCGCAGTCCTATTGCTGGACCAGCTGTCAGCCAATGCAAGGCTGGCGGGCATTTATACTGAGATAGAAGGCGTCCGCATTTGATTTTGGACATGCGACTCCTTTTTACAGGCTGCAGCTACAGCATCATGCGGAAGCCTCATAATGCCATTGCGGAGGAGTCCTCTTTAGATCAAGCCGAAGCTGAAGCTGAGACTTGTGTATTTTGAGTTGGTGGATATTTGGCATTGGCTCAAGTGATTCAGTCTTGTTCGTGATTCCGGCTTCAGTGATCTCTTGTTGGGGCAATCAAGGTAAAGGGCCTTGACAATGGGGAAGTCCATTCGCTCCAAGATCAAGAAACGTCTTCGGACTGTCAAGAGGCAGAGAGTTGATGCAATGATTATTACTCCTCGAGAGCAAGAAAAGTACGAAAAGCTCGTGCAAGTCGCTCAAGGCCGCAGCGTGACTCGCCTTCGGCCCAAGAATGCATTCAAGTACCCCGACTCTGAAGATGCGGTGTTTCCACAGCATGAGATCATGAAGCCTGTTGATTTCAGAGCACAGAATTTGCCCATGGCCGGGACAGTCTTCCGTGGCAACCGAAGGAAGTATTCAGATGAGGAGAAAGCAATGTTGAACAAGATCATCAAAGAGAACCACCCCAAAGTGGAGATTTTGGCCGGTGGAGGCGCAATTCTGGCCAAGACCGGGCAAAAAGTCTCCACTGAGGAGGCGGAGTTGATAGCAACCAAGGTGAATCGTCCAGAGACGGTCATCGAGCACGTGCGGAAAAACAAGGACGACTCCGAGATGATGGATGCACCTCAGCAAGACGCTGAGCATCTCAGCGTGGCAATTGAGCCTGAGGATGCAGCCGATGTTTCTCGGAGACCGATTGTCAAGGACACACGACGTGCCAAGCGAACAGCTGAAAGAAGACCGCGCCCCAATTCGGTGAAAAAGGCCAGAAATCCGCAAGCCCCGAAACCGGCCAAAGCTACCAAAGGTGCAAAGGCAATGTCTGCGGTGGCGTAAAGGGACGGGACCTACTGTGCGCTGGCAGAGTGAAGCAGACAATTTATGTTCATAAGTCTTCTTGTTGATTGGTTGCCAACACCGCAATATGCGTGATGTGTGGTGGCCCTGATCTTGGGAGTTTTCAATGCCAACTTGGGGCATGAAGAAGACTCCATGCGACGCGAAAAAAATGCCTCTGAAGATGTACCAGAATGTGTCAAAATATCTCCTGGTTACAAGGATTTAAGTCTTTCCAATGATACAGTGGTACAGTACAGTGCGGTCACCACTGGCACTTGCTCCGGAAAGAGAAATCAATGAATTGAGCCGTTCGCTAGCAGTGGGTGTGAGGATGTGTCAGGTTAAGCATACTTGGAGCTCAGGTCGAAGGGTACTGCCGCACAGCGGGCATCAGAGAGGTCAGTGCAGAGGCGCTGTCGCGAGCAGACGTTCTTTGGCTTAGTTAGGAACAGTGCCAAAGGTGATTTTCCAGTCCAAGCCGGATCCCATGGTGCTTTTCCCGGCACCAAAAACGTAACTCTGCCCTGTTGAATCTCACCTGTTCAAGATTGACACTCAAGCTTTGGATGTGTGCCAGTATCTCCTTGCCAGGACGGACCTGGAGCCCCATGCAGGTCCTGTTACAGTGGCTGCGCCTTGCTGGCCAGTGACAATTGTACCGGGCAGTTGACATCGACCTAAGACCACCATGCGATAGAAGAAAAGACCGGCAGGGAAAAACAATAGTTTACGAGGTCGAGTTTTGCACTAGCTCTACACTACATAGATTGTTGTTGCATTTACATAGTTCTTTAAAACACCTGTCCATTTTCTGCCAGGTTTTCTCCGTTCCATCGGAAGCTCATGCTGACTGGATCAGCTGATGGTGGGGATGCTTGTCTAGTGTCCACGGGCCGAGTGATGCACCGCAACATTCATGTCTCACTTTGACCACCTGCAGGACGACACTCATTCCATGCTCTTCAGGCAAACATCGAACGTGGGATTTTCCTTTTCAGTATTTCTTAGGCTCCGTGAAGCTCTTTGATGTTCTTCAGCAACGAGCTGTACAGACCTTTTTTCCACCTTCTAAGTGCAGGTCTCAGTCTCTTAAATAAATTTTGTGGCCATGCGGCCATGCATCGTGAGTTTTCCACTACAAAGGCATCTCTCCACTTGTGCTGTTTCAGCAGCGGCCTGGTCCTCCGCCAGGCTCTTTTCTGTTGAAGAAAGACAATTCATTTCCGAGAAAGCACGGGTGAAGCAACAACGGGTGATCCATCGGACACGAACCACGAACTGAGCACGTTGTTGGATCGGTGAAGAAGCAGATTGATTGATCGACTTTTTCAGGCGCATGTTGTAGGAACAGTATTATTTTGTTTCTCCGGGTTGAACAGGAACTTGCTAACTGTATGCTGTATGTTGGAGGGTGGAACATTCCTCACGTGCTGTGTTCCATTTCACTTTGCTATTTATTGTTCAGAGAGCCAAAAGATGCTTGTGGGAAACGCTTCATCGTGACCCATACAAGCTGTATTTTGATATGAAAGATATGTAGCTCGGCTTGTCAATATATATATATATAGAGAGTTCAAATGGATATATATATATATACTTGTCAATTTAACACATTTTCTGCTTGATTGAAACACAAATCAGACCACGTGGGACCTTCAAAGTGTAGGAACTGGGTAGCCGTTGCATTTTACCATCCAGCGTGTGCCTTTCCTGTGGCCCACAACTCTTTTGCAGAGCACACTTGTCACCATGTGTCATGACTTCCTGTTTAGCTGGTTGTATCGTCGTGCAGTGAACTGGGAGACTTTGCGGATTGTAGCCCGCAATATGAAAAACTAAAATGTACGTTTGCCCCGAAGACAGGCCATGTGTGTTTGCAGTTGCGATGGAGATGGGAGGCGCGGCCAGAGATCAGATTCTTCTAGGCAACTTGAGGCCTGTGAGTAATCCACATGTAATTTTCATGTGAGCAAAGGTGTGTACCTCTACGACCTCCTCCAGATTCTCGGCACAAAACCTTGCGTGCAACAAGAGTGCTTTCATGTGCTTCTTTTAGACCCTAGCAGCGTCCTTGTTCCTAGTACTAAGGCCAGGAGCCCCTAGTAGCGTCCTTGCTCCTAGTAGTAAGGGCAGGACCCTTGTAGCGTCCTTACTCCTAGTACTAGGACCAGGAGCCCCTAATAGCGTCCTTGCTCCTAGTAGTAAGGCCAGGAGCCCCTAGTAGAGTCCTTGCTCCTAGTAGCCCCCAGTAGCGTCCTTGTTCCTAGTAGCGATGCCAGGCGACTCTTAGTAGCGTCCTTGCTCCTAGGAGTAAGGCCAGGAGCCCCTAGTAGCGTCCTTGCTCTTAGTAGTAAGGCCAGGCGGCCAGGAGCCCCTAGAAGCGTCCTTGCTCCTAGTAGTAAGGTGAGGAGTGGCTAGTAGTGTCCTTGCTCCTAGTACTAAGGCCAGGAGCCCCCAGTAGCGTCCTTGCTCCTAGTAGTAAGGCCAGGACTGCCTGGAAGGGTCCTTGCTCCTAGTAGTTTGGCCAGGAGCCCCTAGTAGCGTCCTTGCTCCTAGTAGTGCCAGGAGCCCCTAGTAGCGTCCTTGCTCCTACCAGGAGCCCCCTAGTAGCGTCCTTGTTCCTAGTAGCGTCCTTGCTCCTAGTAGCGTCCTTGCTCCTAGTAGTAAGGCCAGGAGCCCCTAGTAGCGTCCTTGTTCCTAGTAGCGATGATGCCAGGAGCCCCTAGTAGCGTCCTTGCTCCTAGTAGCGATGCCAGGAGCCCCTAGTAGCGTCCTTGCTCCTACCAGGA